AATAATAATAATAATAATAATAATAATAATAATAATAATAATAATAATAATAATAATAACCAACAAAGCAAATAAACCCAGTTGAGATGATTTGGGATGAGATGGACCATAGAGTGAAGGCAAAAGAACCAACAAGTGTTCAGCATCTCTGGGAACTCTTTCAAGACTGTTGGAAAACCGTTTCAGGTGACAACCTCATGAAGCTCGAGAGAATGCTATGAGTATGCAAAGCAGTATTCAAAGCAAAGGGTGGCTATTTTGAAGTGTCTAAACTATAAAATGTATTTTGAGTTATTTCACACTTTTTTTACTACATAATTCCATATGTATTCATTCATAGTTTTGATGTCTTCAGTGAGAATCAACAAAGTAAATAGTCATGAAAATAAAGAAAAAACATGAGAAGATATGTCCAAAATTTTGACTGGTATTCTACATGTAATGAATGAACCATTACGTGAAGTATATTCATATGTGACTGAATGTTCATATGTAATGGATTTTTCTATGTTGAGAGTAACACAGAAAAGAAGAAAATGTGATGAAGTGATTTTAAAGTTAAACTTTAAATAATGCATGTGTAAAAGTCAGATGACTTTATGTAAATGCTAGACAGGGGGAGAGAGAGAGGGAGGCAAATGTCCACTTGGCAGCATAGAAAAAGAGGGCACCCAGGAACATTCTTTGTTCTTCCCTTTGTGTTCTGTAAGATGAGCAGCTCAGATAATTGGCTCTCAGTTGGAAATTCCAGCAGAGAACTAAGTGGCCTGAACCACTGCTCAAACTGTGCACTTGCAAGTTGTTTTTAGTATTATTTATTTTTCACTTTTACTCTGCTCATTCTTTGCCATATTGGATTATTAACTCAGAAGGATTTAGACTCCATTGTTTTCCTGGTGGATTGCAACTTCCCAAGATTTCCATTGTTTTCAGTGTGGGTTATAACTTTGAGAAGGTGTGGATTTCCAGGATTAAATGTCCAATGGATGCTGCTTTCCTGTTGGACTATTATTATCAACTCTGAATACAGAGATAAACACAACTGTAGACCAGGATATTCTCCAACCTCTCTTCCCCCAAACAAAAGTACTGTTTTATTTCCTCCTTGAGCAGAGTCGGTTTTTATTGAGATATTTTAATGAATTTACAGCGCAGTGTGCATCTCTCTATCCTGATATGAGTGAATGGAGATCCACTATATCCCAGTAGTCATTCCAATAGGATAACATTGATTTGATTATACCTTGAATTGCAGTGTTTAAGTGATTGGATGGTCTATATTAGGCTTCACAAACAGCAAAAAAAAAATGAGAAAGGGTTTTTGTTTTGTTTTTTTACACATGCACTAAATAGAAACAGTAGTGTCAAAAACATTAATTCAGTAATTATAAATCATTAGGACACCTTACTTGAATCTCCCATGGAAACTGTGATTCTTGTAAATCCTTGAGAAGGGCTATAATCTCCTTTGTCTACAATTGCGCATTATTATTTATTATTGAAAAATCACCACAGCAGCTAGCAGTATCTGAGTTGGCAGAGTTTTATGCCAGATGTTCAAGTAATTCTCCAGCTGAAATTGAACCAGCAACCGGTTCACATTCTTTTGATGGTTGAAAAGTGAAAATTTCACCAGTTTTGGGTATCTTTAATCTTTTAATTATAATTATATTGTATAATTATAAATGCTGTAACATGTACATATCTGTTTTAAAGGTTCTGTGTGTTTAGCTTAAGTAGTTATTGAAGTGTCTCTTACTGCTTTCTTTCACTAAATCTAATACACACAACTATCAGAGCAGTGCATTTATTTGTCACATCTGTTGTAAATACATTTTTAATCTTTTTAACTTGTACAGTTAGATTCACCTGTCTGCTGACACATTTTAGTTGCATTTTCCTAAGAATAGCATTGCCAAGTAAATTATTATATATTTTGATTGTGGATCCCAATCTTACCTGTAGATGCAGCGTGAAAAAGGAGGAACAGGATCACTAGCTTCGCCACCATGTTCAGTGTGTTGGAGTTAAACTGAAGAACGAACAAGAGTCATTTGTTTTTACAGGCTTGTTCAGTTTGAAGGTATTTCCTGGTTCAGGTTGAGTTTTCAGGTATGTTCAACTTTAGCTGAAACCAAACACAACTTTAACTCTTACATATACTATTTAAATTTGACTTCAGTCTTTTGTTTTATTACAGAGGAATAAAACTTGTTTTTGTAAAATGTCTGTTATCTGTTCCTGCCTGTGTGTGCCTCCATTTGTGTAAAATGGGTGGGAAAAAGGGATTTGTTCATTTTATATGTCCTGCGGCAGAGTGAACACCTCCTCTGCACTGTAAAAAGAATAACCCTATTCAAATTACAAAAAAATGATGTCCAATTGTCACATCCAAAATATTTGGCTTCATAGAATCCAAATTGAGTCACTTGATATGACCTGATACTTTTATGTTGATATAAACAATAGTACTAGACTTGACTGAAACTTTAAATTTTGCATTGATCCAAATTGATTTTTTGTTTTGTTTTTTTACATAGAACCATATTTTAATTATTGAACCAAGCTAATATATTGAAATTTAACCAACCTAATGTATTCACATCGAACCAAATTAACATGAACTAATATGTTTGTGTTAAAGCCAGGTAATTGATTTACATATATTCAAACTATATTTTTTACATTTCATTTTATTTCAGTTCAAAAATGCTCTGCATTTCCTATAAAAAACAAGACAGTTGGCCAACCAATTATTTCAAAATTATTTATTGTTCCAAACCATTTTAACTATAATCAATAGAGAGGATTA